TTAGGTACAGGGGTACAAGTTGGGTTCTAATTATTCGTCACAATTTTTTTTATAGTTTCATTTGTTTTCAAGATGTAAGGCCAACTTAATTTTTTTTTAAATAGTACTACCATATAATTAATGCATTTTTGAACGGAGCTTTTTTTTTTGAATTCATTGATACAAAAAATTTAATTTTAATTAAAATTTAAACTAAGAAAATAAAGGATGGGTGGGCGGGCCTATTACTTGCTAAGATTGACTGATTTTGGCAAATGACATACCTTCCAAGGAGAGAAAGGGTGGGTGGGCGGGGCTAGTACTTGCTAAGATAAGACTGATTTTGGCAAATGCGATACCCTTGAAGAAAAGAGAGGGGTGGAACTAGTAGCTACTAAGATAAAACTGATTTTAGCAAATGAGATACCCTCGAAGAAAAGAGACGGCGAGTGAACTTTAATTAAATTAATATAAGAAAAGACACTAGAGGCGTCTGGGTAAGAAAATAAAGGGTGGGTGAACCGGGCTAGCACTTGATAAGAATGATTTTGGCAAATAACATATCCTTTAAGAAAATAAAGGGCGGGTGGGTGGGGCTAATACCTGTCAAGGTGAGACTGATTTTGGCATATGACATCCTAACTACGCTGCATCTATGTGGGTTCCAGTAATAAATTATAGAAACTCAAATTATCCTGAGTGGTTTTCTACAGAACTAAAGCGACTCACTCAATATAAAAAACAGTTACACAAGAAGTTTAAATCAACAGGATGTGACATTGACTATAAGAACTATTCTGAAATTAGGAAATTATGATAGTCAAGAGTTAAACAAGATTATAGTGATTATATGGTGAATGTAGAAAACAGTATTAAGACAGATGCAAGAATCTTTTGGAAATTTTGGAAGGAGAAAAGAAAAAGTCGAATTCATATCCTAATTCATTCATTAAGAGTGACAATATACCATCGAACATGGAAGAGGCGGTAAATATGTTTGAAAATTTTTTTTAGTCAGTGTATACAAATTCTTTGTCAAGAAATAGGACGAATAATTTTAAAATAGGTGGCGAAAGGAATTACAATTTTTCATTAATTTCTACTAATAAGGTATTTGATGCAATTTCAAATTTAAAAGTTAATAATAGTAGAGGTCCGGATGGTGTTTTGTTTCTGGATGAACTTGAAAAAATCTTTTGAGCTTTTAGTGTTTTATTTTTTTCGAATCTGAAAAAGTCTTGAGTGCCGCAGTGTTTTTTTTTTAAATTGGACATCTTTTTGTAAATTATTTAAAACAATGTTGAGGGACTTTGGTGTTTATTTTTGGAAAATTTTGACCTGATCTCTTTTTGAGTTAATTTTGAGACTCCGTTTGCTTTTTTTTTTGAAAAATTTAAAACAATCTTGGAGTTCTAAGTATTCTTTTTTGGAAACAATTTGAAAGTGTTTTGGGGCCTAGCGTCTTTTCTTACAATAATTTAATTAAAGTTCTTAGAGCATACGCCATTTGCTAAAATCAATTTTATTTTAGCAGGTATTAGTTGTTGTCGAAATATGTCTATACATATTAAGAAAAAAAAAGCAAAATATAAGCCCCGCCCACTCGCCCTGCCTCAATTGTGATGATTTTTTTTTTAATAGTCGACGGTCAAATGAACGGAACTTCATAGAAAAAACAAATTACCATCTAAGACATGTTTTTCAGTGTCGTGTTATTCAAAAAATACCATGTATATCAAGAAAAAATTAAAGCCAAAGATTAAGCCGTACCATACCTGCGCAGATCTAAATAGCAATGAAGTTTTCATTCGTTAGCAAAGCTAGGGCGGAGCCTAATTGCAAAATTCACATTTCGTTAGAAAAATTTGCCACTTTAAACGTGTTTTACGTTTCTAAGAATGAAAAAATCATCACAATTGAGATGGGGTGGGGGGGCGGGGCCTATAATTTGCCACTATACTCAAAAACACGTTTTTAATTTCTTGTAAAGAAATAAGTATTTTACAGTTAAGCCCTTGATTCACGGAGAAAAAAAAAACATCACAATTGAGACAAGGCGGGTGGGCGGACCTACATGTCGTCTTTTTGTTTTAATATGTGTAGACTTCTTTTCACAACATGAAACTTAAAACATGTTTAAAATGGAAAATTTGTGTAAGGAAATATCGATTTGCAATATAATCAAAGTTGTTTACAATGAATATTAGTGAGCGTATTTTGAAGTGTACAACAAGTGTACAACAAAATTAAAAAATAATCATCGTCTGAGTCTCTATCACTAGAAGAGTAAATATTTGCGATTTTCTTACTTTTCATATGATTCACTTAAAATGTCTAGAGATTTATAAGCACAAACAAATTAAGAATAAGCGCTTAAATAAGCACAACATTTTCAATAAAAAAGTTTTATTTTAAGCAAAAAAGCATTAAATAAGCATAACACTTTCATTAAAAAAGTTTTATTTTAAGCAAAAAAGCATTAAAAACATAATCATATTACAAATCAAAGAACACTTCTTAGAACTTTGGATAAATATTATTACAATAATCCTAGACTTTATATTTTACACAGGTATTTCAGTTTTCTTTAAAACAATTTATGATTGTAATATGTTCCAAGTTGTCCACTGTAAAATTTTTTCACCGATCATTTAAAATGTGTTTAAAATTGGACAATGTGCGTTCAACATCCACACTCGTTGTTGGCGCAAATTTGAATTTTGCAACTAATGTTGAATCCAACTCCAAATTTTCCACCTTCAGGCCTTGTAAAACACGAGCAACGTCGGAAAGAACACCGAAACCTGCATTTTTATTTAACACTTCGTCGAGTTTTTGAGATATTCTAGTACCAATATCACCCCTTACTGCGTTTGCTTGTTGTTTAAATTCTTTCACTAAGTTATGGCATCTACCAACAACATGTTGGGTTTTTCTAACTTTTCTATTACCTCACATACGAATTGATAATTGCTTCTTAGAAAAGCTAGATTTTGTCGCAAATCTTTGTTTTCTAAAATATTTATGCAATCTTTAATCGATTGAGAAGAGTCTTCGCTAAACTCCGTAACTACTTCCTTAAATTCTTTGATACATTTGTCATAATAAAATGTGGCCTGTAACCATGTTCCCCACCTCGTTATAATCGGCTCTGGGGGCAATGGTATGTTTGGAAATTTTTCCTTAAAATGTTGCACTCTTAGTGGGACTTTAACAAAAATCTTTTTACCATTTGCCACTAATTTATTAACAGTAGGAAACTGCAAACGTATTCCTTCAGTCACTCTGTTTAAACCGTGGCCAATGCAAGTAGAGTGAATTAAATTGGGGTACAATATTTTTAGATTATTCCCTGCTTTCAACATATAACGAGCTGCATCCGAGATCATCAATAAAATTTTATTCGCCGGTACGGCATTTGGCAAAAATAGTGACGTAAGACTGTCATTTACAAATCTGGTAATCGTATTGCCATTTGTTTTATCTAACATTTTCAAACTTACTACATACCCTCGACTAGGGAAATTTTCATTTAAGATTCCAACAATTAAACTTGCCACGTATCTTCCATAACTATAACATAAATAATTATCTCCAATGCGATGTTTAATTTCGTTGTAAACTTGCTGAAACACTGGGCCTACATAATTTTTTCGGAGAGTACTTTTAACCGGAATATGTCGATTGCAGTGTTTTTCAAGGAATTCTTGAAGAGGGCCTTTCTCCAATTTTTTTAAAGGTATATTGGACTGGATCCTCATTTTACATAAATCGAAATTAAACTGAAACTGCTCATCTTTTGTGGAAATAGATGCAACAGATTCATGTATGGTCTGCTGTTTAATTTTAGAAACTTCAAACATTTTCTTGATTTCTACATGAAGAGTCGTTCTGACATGTTGCGTCACGTTATATTTTTTATCACTTTGAATCTAAAATAACGTACATATACAGGATTAACAAAGGAAAATAGATAAAAAAAAATTAGTGGGCTTACGGTTTTCACACAAGCTCTGCAGAATATTTTGTTGTTTTCTAATTTTAATTCTGGAAAATCCCTTAGCCACTCATCCGGCGTCGATTTTACTTTCGGCATTCTTTTAAAATATTAGTAATATTACCAAAAAGAATTCAACATGTAACAAGGGAGAACCACGTATAACACTGTACTACGACAGATGCGATAAACTGATGGTTGTGGAATTAACGGTCCATTTACTTAAAAGTTTCCATTAGAAAAATTTTAAGGTAGGTAGTTGGGTACAATAATCCTTTTTTCTAGAAAATCTTCAACGGTCTTGCAGCAAAATGCCGAAAAAGAACATCTGGTTAAAAGCTTTAATTCATTATCAACGGAAGTAAGGATTTCAAGTCATAAAATCTATGAAGTATTTTTCCAATCCCATAATAAAATTTTATTACCCAAACGACCGGAACCTATTCACAGAAAGGGTCTTGAGTAAGTGTACTTCAATTGTCAAGTCCAGGTAAAATGCATACGTTACGATACGGCTAACTAACAAGTATTTGTCATCCCGAGGAGTTCGGTTACAAACACTGTGACGCACGAATTTTATACATAATGCATTATTATTTTAGAAAAAATTTCATTACCATAAAAAAGGTTATACTGAGTCGACCTTAAGAATAGACATATGCTGCCACGGACTTTTCTTTAGAACTTTTAGAGGGGAACAATTTCGTCATACATAATTTTTAAGTAACTTTAACCGTTTAAGCAGCGTAAGCAACGGAAGCCGTCAAAGGAGGAATAATTTTCCCGTTTTTCCGAGTTTTTCGTTGCTACTTCTCTCCTATTGATCGTAGCGTAATGTTATTAGCCTATATGTATATACGATAAATGGACTATCCAACACAAAAAGATTTTTTGAATTCGAACCAGTGGTTTCTGAGATTAGCGCGTTCAACCAAACAAACCCTTCAGCTTTATAATATAAGTATAGAAAGTATAGAATTATAGATAATGCAGAACGATTCATGATTTTTGTTTACTATTTTACCTGCACCCTCGCCTCCGTCAAGTTAATCTTCATCGCCAGATCCTCCCTGGTGAAGACATCCGGGTAATGCGTCTGAGCGAACGCGCTCTCCAGCTCCTCCAGCTGCTGAAGCGTGAACGTGGTCCTGTTCCTCCTTTGTTTCCTCCTCACAAACGTGTCGTCGTGTATCGCCGGATGGTAGGAGTAGCTCGTATCTGCGAACAATCGAATGACGGTTATTGCTTTTCCCTCAACTTCGGCGAAGATGTGTCATTTCGCGCAGAGCGAGAAACGTCCGAGATTATTACATGAGGCAAAAAGTGACCGCAGGTCAAAGTTGGAAAGTTCCAAAGTAGATTTTTCCTCGAAACAAGATAACTCCATGTAACACAAACTCTATTAAGATTATTGGGTTTGGAAGAAGCTTACCAGACGGCAAATATTACCGAATACGTCTCGGCGTTAAGTTGCTGTGTGAAATGTTGCGAGCTGGAAGGCAAAAGCGAAATATGTGAGAATCTGGGCTTAGGGGGGTTTTGCGCTTTTTTTCGTGGCAGTTTAAGTTTCTGGGAGTGGTGTGATGGCTGGATGGGGTATTAGTTGCAGGTAATTAACTGCGTTTGGTCTTTCGTATCGATCGGGATGTAATTCGTTAGTTAATGAGCTGAATTATACGAATATTAAATTCGTGACAAGTGAAATAGGTTTTCTGGCGCAAAATGGTCGTGCAGTTAATCACACACGTTAATTAATAATTACGTCAATGAATACATTCTAAAGCCGCGCTGTGACGCTAAAACTAAATAAGTTTGTGCTGATTAGTGATAAATAAATGTCTGTTTGAGTTGCAATAAGCACTGAAAGATTAAAAATTAACAACTATTAAGCACTTGATGACCATACAATTTTACACGAAACAAATCCCACTTCTTTAAAAAAGTCAAATTTTCGTTAGCGTTTTCCTATTTAGATGATGTTTTTAAATTACATATAAAATTTCACAACAATCGGTCCCGTAGTTTCGTAGATTACCTGTCTAATAACAATTGCCACAGACGACAGACAGACAGACATTCGAATGAATACAGCTTCTTGGAAAAATAATGAAACTTAATTTCGCGAATTTTATTTATTTCTTATGAGAGTCTCTATAACTAAAAAAAAAATATGTGTGGTATAGCTAAAGAAAAATACTATTCAGTGATGTAAACAATACCCCTGCAGCTTCTGAGCCGGGAGTTTTTTTTTTTACTTTTTCTACATCCTAGACTCTATTATTAGTTTCCACTCCCACTCGACAGTAGAACATAATTAGCCCCGCCAACCCACCCTGTCTCTTTTCAGTGACTGATTTTATCCTTCTTGTCATACTGAACGGAAATAAAATCAGTCGTTAGAATGAGAAGAAGGTGGGTGGGCGGGACTAGTACTTGCTAAGATAAGACTGATTTTGGCAAATCACATACCTTCCAAGAAAACAGAGGGTGGGTGGGCGGGCCTAGTATTTCATAACATAAGACTGAATTTGGCACTTTTGACATTTTCGACCATTTTTCAACTATATCCAGAAGTCATTTTCCAAAATTGCTAATTGAAATATAGCAGTTTTTACAGTTTTGACTAAAACTTATTATTAATACTTTGTGGTTTTTATATATTCACAGAAATGTTTAAAATTTGTTTACTTGAGACAGTAGGGAAGTCAGGATAGGTTAGGTCACGTTCTTAGTTTCCACATGTACATTTTTGGACGAAAATTCTTGTTTCCTTAAATTTGCTTTTTAAGTCTCAGTTATATCAGAGTTGTCCCTTTAAATTTCAAAAAAGACTAAAGTTAAAAATCTCTCCATACTAAATGGATTGAGTATTGCAGCTGAAAATTCTTCTGTACAACAAGAAAGCTTCAAGGAATCGAATGTGTTAAATCGCAACACGGATTTTTGTGTCATTTTGGATTGATGCCCCTTTAAATTTGAAAAAAAAGTTGTTTTTTGTATCAAAAGTGATACCTTCCTGTATATTCGTTCCTCCATACTAAACGGATTGAGTTTCCGGTCTGAAAATTTGCTTGTAGAACGATAAAGCTTCAAGGAATCGAATGATTTGAATCGCAGTGCGAACTTTTGTGCCCTTTTGAAGTTATGTCCCTTTAAATTTGAAAAATAGCTGTTTTTTTTTTAAGTGAAAAGTGACACTGTCCCATAAATTCGTTATTCCAGATTAAACGGGTTGAGTATCTGGTCTAAAAATTTTCTTCTAGAACTAGAAAGCTTCAAGCAATCGAATATTTTAAACTCCAGTACTCGGTTTTGTGCTGTTTTGGAGTTATGTCCCGTTAAATTTAAAATAGGCTGTTTTAAGTTAAAAGTGACACCTTCCCATATATCTGTTCCTCCATACTAAACGGATTGGATATCTGGTCTGGAAATTTTCTTCTAGAACTAGAAAGTTTCAAGGAATCCAATGATTGGACCTGAAATTCGAACTTCTGTGCCCTTTTGGAGTTATGTCCTTTTAAATTTGAAAAAAGGCTGTTTTAAGTCAAAAGTAACACCTTCTTAATATTCGTTCCTCCACAATAAACGGATTGAATATCTGGTCTGAAAATTTTCTTCTAGAACTAAAAAGCTTGAAGGAATCGAATGCGATAAATCTCAGGAGTGGTTCTTGTGCCCTTTTGGAGTTATTTCATTTAAATTTGAAAATTGCTGTTTTCTAAGTCAAAAGTGACATCTACTTATATATTCGTTATTCCATACTAAACGGATTGGGTATCTAGTCTGAAAATTTTCTTCTAGAAATAGAAAGCTTCAAGGAATCGAATGATTTGAACCGCAGTGCGAACATTTGTGCCCTTTTGAAGTTATGTCCCTTTAAATTTGAAAAATGGCTGTTTTTTAAAAGTCAAAAGTGACACAGTCTCATAAATTCGTTATTCCGTACTAAACTGGTTGAGTATCTAGTCTAAAAATTTTCCTCTAGAACTAGAAAGCTTCAAGCAATCGAATACTTTAAACTCCAGTACTCGGTTTTGTGCTGTTTTAGAGTTATGTCCCGTTAAATTTGAAAAAAGGCTTTTTTAAGTCAAAAGTGACAACTTCCTATATATTCGTTACTCCATACTAAACGGATGGTCTGAAAATTTTCGACTAGAACTAAGGACCTTCAAGGAATCGAATGCTTTCATTTCCAGTACCGGTTCTTGTGTTGTTTTGGAGTTATGTCCCCTTAAATTTGAAAAAGGCTGTTTTAAGTTAAAAGTGACACCTTCCCATATATCTGTTCCTCCATACTAAACGCATTGAATATCTGGTCTGGAAATTTTCTTCTGGAACTGGAAAGCTTCAAGGAATCGAATGATTCAACCCGAAATGCAAACTTTTGTGCCCTTTTGGAGTTATGTCCTTTTAAATTTGAAAAAAGGCTGTATTAAGTCAAAAGTAATACCTTCTTATATATTCGTTCCTCCATGCTAAACGGATTGAATATTTGGTCTAAAAATTTTCTTCTAGAACTAAAAAGCTTGAGGGAATCGAATGCGAAAAATCCCAGGATTGGTTCTTGTGTCCTTTTGGAGTTATTTCATTTAAATTTGAAAATTGCTGTTTTCTAAGTCAAAAGTGACACCTTCCTATATATTCGTCCTTCCATACTAAACGGATTGGGTATCTAGTCTGAAAATTTTCTTCTAGAACTAGAAAGCTTCAAGGAATCGAATGATTTGAACCGTAGTGCGAACCTTTGTGCCCTTTTGAAGTTATGTCCCTTTAAATTTGAAAAATGGCTGTTTTTTTTAAGTCAAAAATGACATCGTCCCACAAATTCTTTTTTCCATACTAAACGGGTTGAGTATCTGGTCTAGAAATTTTTGTTCTAGAACTACAAAGCTTCAAACACTCGAATACTTTAAACTCCAGTACTCGGTTTTGTGCTGATTTGGAGTTATGTCCCGTTAAATTTGAAAAAAGGCTGTTTTAAGTCAAAAGTGACAACTTCCTATATGTTCCTTGCTCCATACTAAACGGATGGTCTGAAAATTTTCTACTAGAGCTAAGAACCTTCAAGGAATCGAATTCTTTCATTTCCAGTACCGGTTCTTGTGTTGTTTTGGAGTTATGTCCCGTTAAATTTGTACAAGGCTGTTTTAAGTTAAAAGGGACACCTTTCCATATATCTGTTCCTCCATAATAAGCGGATTGGATATCTGGTCTGGAAATTTTCTTCTAGAACTAGAAAGCTTCAAGGAATCGAATGATTTGACCCACAATGCGAACTTTTGTGCCCTTTTGGAGTTATGTCCCTTTAAATTTGAAATAAGACTGTTTTAAGTCAAAAGTAACATCTTCTTATATATTCGTTCCTCCATACTAAACGGATTGAATATCTGGTCTGAAAATCTTCTATATCCTATACTTGTGGTGTAGAAATTCGTTTTTTCCCTATATGGCCATTAGCTATGTGTATTTATTGACGTTATAACAATTCTTTTTATTGATCAAATTAAGGACGAATTTTCTCGAAAAGATGAGAATACGGATGTCTTTATTTAATAAGATAAAATTATAACGAATTATTTTAGTCCTCTGTTTTCATTAAAATCAAACAAATTCCTACGTGACATGTATGTATAAACAAACACTTGAAGACGAAGCTTGTTATTATTGATGAGAGGACATTTTTTCTCATTTGTTATCTGTTTTATATATATTTTACATTGTCAGGGGGCGTGAGGGTGTTATTAATAACAAACATTGCAAAATCTAATGTTCTAATTTTTCAAAAAAACAATTTTTTAATGTATCGGGCGAATTATTACTTTCCTGTTTTCTCAACCTTTCATGACCACTAGAAAACGAAAAATGTGGTCTCCCGTTTCCGTCTGTCTGTCTGTCTCTCCATCTGTGGTCTATGACAATTTTCATTAGACGGATACTCCCCGAAACTACTGAACCGATTGTTATCAAACTTTATACGTGTCTTACGGATATCATGTAGATGATAAAACGCTAAATAAACTTTGTCTAATCTTCTCACCAACAATGTGATGACGTCACTTCAAAATTGTACTTCCAAATGGAAAGGGCTTGAAATTTTGGCCGACCTAACCTGACCTGACTTGATTTGACTTAACCTACAAAGAATGAACTCTCTGTAAGTTTTAAATGACATCATACATTTTTTGAGGTAGCATACAACCAAATTTCGGTTGTACATA